ATTATCTTAACTTAATCTAAACTGCTCAACATGAAAGCCTAAAAGTATTGTAAAAGCTTTAGGATAATGCATGTGTATGCATGCACATGAAATAATCATTTTTGGCTGTTTTATTTTTGGTCAATGACAAAATCGCATCTATACTAAAAAAAAAGGTTTAAATACACATTGATACCTAAAAAGTCTAAGAGAATCTTTTACTATTGTATTTATTTGAACATTTTATATTTAAAATTTATTTGCAATATGATCAACAAAAGAAATATGAGAAAATAAATAAATTATATACGACACGTTTCAAACAAGTTTATTTATTTCTGAATGTGGCTTAAAAGCTAAAAGCAAAGAAACTTCCAATTTCGATTTTATCAATATAAATAAAGTGATTGTTGTTTTTATATCGATTTTGGTTACATTTTTTTCGGTTGTTTAAATACTCACGCCATTTAATTATTAGAATCCGAGATGATCCTATCATTAAGCGAATCGCGGAGTTGATTGTGCAGATTCAAATTTCTATATGTGATTGTTTAGTTGTTTATCATTATTGTTGCCATTAAATCATCCTTATGTACGTGTGCACTCGAATACATTTCAACTTATTGTAAATTTGATCCAAAAACGATATCGAATAAAACTACCTTGATTCATTATAATATCAAGTTGGGCGTAACTAATTTCAGAATTGCGGAGGAAATTCTGATTGTCATAATTGAATAAAAAAATGTAGGATTAATGCATAGTAGATTTCACTATTACAAAATTATATTATTTATTAAAAAATTATCTTAGCATATCCTTTATTGATTAAAAATTATCTTAGCTTATTTTATTTAGGCAATTTCTATTTATACACTACGTGTATGTACACGGGTATGTTGATATCTCGAAACCATAATTATAAACCAAATTTTGGGTTCTAATAAAAAAATTCTTTGCAAAATTTTAGTATATCCCCAAACCATTCCTGATCCTAAAGTTAACCATGTCATAACTTTAAACTGGGCTAATTTTTGTCTTATAATAAATATATTACACGAATGCATAAATCAGCAGATTAGTACCCGTGTATAAACACTATGTGTAAACTAATAAATTTTCTTTTATAAAATTTTGATGTTTACTTGAATAACTTAATGTTATTAAACAGATTATATTAACAGTTGACAATTCAGTTTATTTTTGTTAGGTCGTTTGGATCGAATTTAGGGTCAAACGCAGGTTATATTTTGATATCTATAAAGCATTTTATATATTGCGTAACTCTATTATCATAAAATTAACATTATAATAACATATAATTATAAAAACTAAGGTTGATGTAAAATGTTTCGGATTCGAGTTTTTAATTCAGATTAGAGAAGTAAATTTAACTCTTCAAGAGCACTAGTTGTGATTTAGAAGTTGGTGCATTTTATGATTCGTTATATAATTTGTTATATGATTTGCTATACAATTTGATGATATGTAATCATTTATTGTAACGTTAAAATTCAACGTTAATGGATTTCCTCAGTCTTTTTTGGTAAAAAATTGATATATCTAGGGTATCGTTTTGACATTTATGCAAACCAAATTACAAAATCCTGTTTTCTCATTATTCTGGAAATTTATTGGCAGTAATCATTTACCAAATGTGAACACTTTTTTTTTTTTTTGGTTGTAACTTGAAGCATTAATTCAAACTTGAGATCCTTCATGATCTTGCTTAATTAAATAAATGAGGACTTTATCGTATACAGTCGTCCACCTCTATAGTCATCTTCTAAATAATTACATCCTCCTTATAAGTACTGTTTTTGAAAAGTTATTGGCAATATATCTATCAAAAAAATTTTGTATGATTACATTATTACGTTTATAATCACATCTTTTTTATGTAAAACAAACGGTGTAATTATAGAGAAGGACGACTATAATTTTATGGTTAATACCATTCTCTTTTGTCAATAGGATTTACGCAAAATGTAAAATATCCATCCAAGCTAATCTTTAAATATTAAGATAATGCTGCCATAGTTGTCGTTCGCATTGCGCGAGAGAATTACATAGTTACCAAGCATAATTGTTTTGAGTAAAGGCGTTATTCAAATTCCAATAAGGTTTGATAATATTGGGAAATATACAATTCCTATTAATTATTGCTATATTGATAACAGAAATTTAGAAGCAATATCGACATAACATTATTTGATCAATACATTTAATAACATACACAAATGCAACTAATACCTCTGATAGTATAGCATTTGTGAATAAGGTGTGGTATTAAATTGAAGCGGGAAAATTTAAGGTTTGTTAATATATATTTGTTAACATTGTGTATATATATGTGTGTATATATATGTCGCATCTAAAGTTGCAGCTCCAGATATTTAAAGTTGCTAATATCTGAAGTAACTTTTAAATATTTTAAAATAGCTACTTCAAATTGACAACACTGTATTTGAAGAAGCTTTTTATTTAAAGAAATTATTTTAGATATCTAAAGTTGCAATTTTAGATATTGTACCTAAAATTAATACTTTAGATGTCTAAAGTTACTACTTTTTAGATAATTAAAGTTGATATTTTAAATATCTGAGATTACCATTTTAAATATCTGATTTGTTTAATTTTAAAGTTTTTAATTTATAAATTAATTTCAACTCACCAGAAGTTGTAAAGTTACCATTTCAAATAACTGAAGTTGTAAAGTTATCATTTTAAATAACTGAAGTTGTAAAGTTACCACTTTAAATGTCTAACATTATTATTTTAGATATATTTTAGATGTCTAAAATTATTATTTTAGATATCTTTTAGATGTCTAAAATTATTATTTTAGATATCTTTTAGATGTCTAAAATGATTACTTTTAAATATTTAAAATTGCTACTTTAAATATCTAAAATTGCTACATTAGACCTTTAATAAAGTTGCTACTTTAGATATTTAAAATTGCTACTTCAGTTATCTAAAGTTGCTGCTTCAGACAAAAAACTACTTCAAATATTTGAAATCTTTGACATTACGACTTCAGAATCTAATGTGCCAATTTCAGTAACAAATTTGATTTTTTTTTTAATCTGAAGTTGTAACTTTAAATAGTGAACTTCAACTTTGGATTCGACATATTTCTGTCAGTTCTTCTGCAATATACTATTCTTGCATGTTTAATAATATATAAGAGTCGTGGTTAATTCTTAAATTTGGGATCTCGATTTGAAAATGTAAGCCTTGCTAAATTTACATATACATTTTAATTATTAATTCTAACACAAAAAACTCTACCCAAATCCTAAAAAAAAACACCAAAAAAATATCAATTTCATGTTAAAATTAGCATCAGCCGCGACATATAATTTTCAAACAGAAACTATATGAATTTTATTAGAAAATATATATTAATTATGGTGCCCTACTCGATCCTATTCCAATATTTACTTTAACATCGTTAGATCTCTCAACACTTATAAGCATATTTAGTAAATCTTTTTTATTATAATTACGGTGCATTTTCCTTATATGAGCCGTCTTACAAAGCAATTAATTGACCAATTTATGCAACTGATAGAGCTGTTTGCTTAAAAAATTTTAACTTTAGAGTTATTATTAAGATTAAATTTAAGATTTGGAAATGTTTTTGAAGTTAATTGACAAATTTATGCAACTGATAGAGCTGTTTGCCTAAAAAAAATTAACTTTAGAGTTATTATTAAGATTAAATTTCAGGTTTGAAAATGTTTTTGAGGGCATAGAACTTTTTATTTATTTAAAACACCAATAGATTAAATTGTCTTTAAGACAACTTATATACAACTTATATATAAGTGTAAAGCATTGTAAATGCGTTTTAATAATAATGAATTTATAAGTAATGGTAAGAGAAAACCTGTTAAATTATGCTTTTTGAGAATTTACCTTTAATAGAAACATTTTAAAGTCAAGTAACTTAAAAATTATTTTATTATAATATCATTTAAATTGTATCAATAAGAATTCGAATTATATTAAAATTTAAGCATTCAAATATTTGGTTTTAAACCATTTCTATTAAAATATTAAAAAAATGCATGATTTACAAGTTTTCTCTTATCTTAATCCATATATTAACAGTTTATATCATTATATAAATAAAAATGTAATAAATATTTTTCATATGAATGAAAGAGTTATTGTTGAAATACTGAATACGTATAAAATTGTATGTACGATCAGAATTATTAATCTTAACAAAAAACACGAATCAATTCAACTAAACTATTACCATATTAGATTGCTTAAGTTGAAAAAATGATTAATACGTAAAACTGAAACACGAAAGAAATCGAAGAAATTTACAACGTGGATATCATTGATCAATGCACATACATATGTGCGTATGCATCAACGAATACGCACATAACGATAAGTTATATCGTTATTCAATTAGACCTATAAATAGAAATTTCCTAAAATTGTGGATCACCATACTTATAAATAGTGATATTCGGCTTAAGCCTGCATATTTTATCTAGCCAATATAAAATAAAATAAATTGTTTACAAGATGAAAAAGTAAATCTGAATGATTTTATTTTTAAATTAAAAAAAAATATAATAAATAAATGTAACCAAATCTTAAAAAATATCTAATGGTTATTAGAAAATTACACAAATATGCAATATTGTTAAAAACGAATACGTATATACAAAAAAGAAAATTTGGTAAACCATTCTTTCGATTTATTAATTTATACGTATGGTCTTTACATATAGTTTAAATAAAGATTTAATATTAGAATTCTTTTATAATTTTAGTATTTTCATTGATGAGACCGATTATTTTGTAACGATTTCTTTTGTAATAATCGGATGTTATCAAAAATCGAGATGTTATCTATTTCTATTGAGAATTAGTTTTCTAAAGCTTGATTTGATAAATTTTAATGGAAAAATAAATATATAAATGCATTTAATCTCAGCTTTTTCATATCTCAACAATTGTTTTTTGTTATTTAAAATAATTCAACAAAAACAATGTTTTTAAATAATTCAACACGAACAATGTTTTTTAAAAAACTTCCGCTTCTTGTTATTTTGACTCTATTCATAGTCACCTTGTCGGAAGCTAGTTTTAACCTTGATAAAAGAAATAAACCAAAAATATGTCGGAATGCTTTGCTCTCGGCTACTTTTGAAATGGATTTAAAGGGTCAGATGTCATTTTATCAAGACCAAGAAGGTCAAGTATGGTTGTCTGGTACATATCAATCTGGATTTCAAAAACCAGGTAGCTGGGATTATTGTTGGACACTTCAAAATGGTTGTGGAGAGATTATTTATAACCTCACTGATCAATTAAACATGGAGTATACAAAAGGTAGTGGTTGTAATGGTTATGATGATTCAAAATCGAGTTATAAAAGGAGAGGTGGTTATCTTGATAAGAGACATCATAAAGAAGAATGTGAAGCTGGGGAATGGGGTACTAAGCCTTGGGTGGTTAAAGTGGGTGATTTAACATGGGATTGTGGTAAAGATGGAGGTTTTAAATATCAAACCTGTGAAGGAAAAGATATTTATAAAGATAAGGTGGTTGATTATACTAAACAAAAACTGCCAAAACGGCTTAGTGATCAAGGATCTACAAGTGGTATCTACTTAGTTGTTGATGGTCAAAGTAAATGGGGAAAACGTGCTACTATAAATTCGCCCGCTGCAATTAACGTAAATAACGAGGGCAACGTTGTGGCGCCGCCACCTCCAGCACAACCAGCTCCAGCACCGCCAGCCCCTGCCCCTGCACCGCCTGCTCCTGCACCAGCACCACCAGCTCCTGCACCAGCACCGCCTGCTCCTGCACCGGCACCGCCTGCTCCTGCACCAGCACCGCCTGCTCCTGCACCAGCACCGCCTGCTCCTGCACCTGCACCACCAGCTCCTGCACCTGCACCACCTGCACCAGCACCTGCACCACCAGCTCCAGCACCACCTGCTTCAGCACCTGCACCGCCGGCGCCGGCAACCGCTGCGCCAGCAACCGCTGCAAATACTGCATCCAATACTCCTGGACTCTCGATAGAAGCAGTACCCGGATCCGTTACAGTGGAATCAAATACTGCACCACCACCAGTAACAGCAGCAAATACTGCAGTAACATCAAATACTGCACCACCAGCCCCACCACTAACTATTGCACCACCACCATCGAATACTGCACCACCAGCCCCACCACCACCATCATCTACTCCTGCACCAGCACAACTACCACCCGCACCAGCATCACCACCATCAGCTACAATCGCAGCAGTACCTCCACCATCAATTACTCCCGAATCTGTTGCACCTCCACCAGCAGCAACTGCTGCTCCAGTAGCGCCTGCTGCACCTGCAACAACAGGATAGAATAAAATATTGTAGATTTTTTATCATTTTAATTGGCTGATTTTCGATTATGATATTTGAACTTTTCATAATGTACATATTGAGTGCAAATTTTTGGTATAAAAACAATTATTGGGTTTTAGGACTATCACTTAGTGTTAGCATCAAAGTCTTATAAAGAATTTTACTTCTTGTATTTATGCTTTTATTAATAAAAAATTATCGACATTATACATATAAAAATAGTCTCTTTACTACTTTGAATTGAAATCAGTATGAATATCGTTCTAAATTAAAGTTGTTACGAAATTATATCATACCACTTTTTTTCTTCATTTTTCACTCACGAAACATTGAATTCATATTAATTTCTAATATTCAACATTGTACTGCTTTAAATATCCATCATGACAATTGTCTATAACAATTAGAGGTCGGAACCGGTTTTAATAATTCAAGTTTATCACAATTTATCAAAATTTAATTGGATAAATTGATGTGATAAGCATCAATTTTGATAAGTTAATGTGATAAACTCGAATAATTAAACCGGTTCCTACCTCTAATAACAATCAAACAATATCATTAGCGTCCAACTCAGCCGGCTAAATCGACAGAACTGACTTATAATACTATTATATACTTCATGAATATTCTACTAAAACAAAGTATCATATGATGGTACTTGGGTAGACAAAAACATAAATACATTAGGCTAAAAAATCATATTAGAAAACTTGTATATAAACTTCTTTTTAGTTACATGTCTTTTACAAAAACTTTCATGGTTTTGTTGGCTATAAATATCTAACACCTTATTTTAGAGAAAACAAATTCTAACAATGTAATATTGCAAAAAAATTAATAATAGTTCTGCATAACATCTTGAATTTGCATAAATCTCAATGAAAGATACTTTTAAAATTCAACTAGCAAATACATACATGCATAAATAAATTCAAAAAAGATTTTTTTCCAATTTGCATCCATGAAATTTTTTTTTGGTTATATTAAAAATCCGTCCAATAAATACCAATTTTTTGGAACTGTATTTGTTGACAGGTGAATTATGTACTGGCGGATGATCTGGTATTGTAAAATAATTTTTTATATGTTACACACAGGATGAAGGATCAGTCGTGTAACATGGACGATTCCTCCTGTTGTATTTGTTACGGATACGATGTGAAATTATTTAGTTGTTGATGATATATTAGGTAGTATTTGGTTAATATTATTTGTTTATTAGTTATGTAATTTTTGTTAGGAAAATCAATTTAGAGAACAAACAATAGCAATGCGTAACTAATGAAAAGAGTCAATGATTATTATAAGTTGTAACGTGTCACGAATGATGAAGAGAGGCTAAATACAAATATATTTTTCTTTGTTTTGAATAATTTCCATCTGTGAATATTTTTCTTAATAATTGTACGAGTGAGATTTAATAATGATGCATTAAACAGATGAAGAAATCAGATATTAATAGTCAATTTATTTTTAAGAGAAATTCCATTTTCACTAGGTTAAAAGGCAATCTGATAAACTATACATTTACCTAACTAAAATTAATAGTATTCGTAAAGACTTTGGGTATTATAAGATTTCTTATTTTTAATAAATGTTACTATTATCATAAATTAATTAATATTATGAAATGTGTGAAGTTAAAGACACTTATGTTGGTTACGGGTTAACTTCTTGAAGTACATTTTTTTGAAATACCATTTTACGAAGTCATAATACTAACAATCCATTTTATTAACAGGACATAAATGGGTCTTTGTCATTTCACTAACAATCAATTCACCAATAAGTTTTTTTAAAAGCTACACTAAACATTCATAGGTCGGTGGCACAGTGGTTAGTCCTGGGTTACAATCGCAAAGTCACAGGTTCAAATCCAACCGGGAGACAAGGTTCTGTTAGAACCATGATTGGAAATGATCTTCGAGGACCCTTTCTGTTAAAAAAACAAAGACCCATACATCAGAATGTGGTCCGCCAACATAACCACAGGGTCAGGGACGACCAAATAAGGTGTAATCCGTCAACAAAGAATACTAAAATTGAGTAAACACAGTTTAAAAGAATTAACATATAACAAGAACAATGAGGTCATGGCAATAAGGAACTGCGGACTCCAAAATAAGGGTCCTACACTGTGGGATCAGGGACCTGAGATATTACTAAGGTGATAGACTTACTGCTACATGATATGAAGAGACTGGGAACATCACAGATGATATATGTAGCAATAAAGTGAGTTAACTTGTAGGGACTAAATAATATAGAGATTGTGATTCGGAAATCGGCGAGTCTGTCGCTAAACTAATCCAACTCTCGCGTAACCTACGGCGGTTAAGTCGAAGAAGGCGTGTTAGATTTGGCTGGTGGTTTTCATCCGTAGGTAAGTACTGGTCTCCTCTTGGTGTCATTCCTTCAACCTATTCTTATTCTACTTCCTGTCTTCTCTTCTATACCTCAACCCGGGATTACTCTTCGTCAAATTGGGGTTGAAACTCTTCTATTAGGTTAACGGTTTGATCACGCGACCTACGGCGAGCGATCGATTTGCGGTTTAGTGATTTATGGACGAACGATTATGTTAGGATGGTATTAACGATAGTTTATTAGTCTGTATAGGGTAATACTTTCACTTTTATTAGGGTTGGGTAATTAGTTGTATGAAATTGTATTTTTATTTGGTTCTGAGGGATCTCTCGTTCCCAAGACAAAAATGCCCTTTATTTTTAATAAACGTTTTATTTACATTTGCAATTAATTTCTTTCATAAACGCAATATATTTCTTATACTCTATATCCTAACTAAATCTAATAAAAAGCTAATATTTCGTTTAACGCATATGTAGGCCAAGTCGTAGAAGCGACGTTAATAACATCAGTGGCATTTCCATCATTTTCGTGTGACCTTGGATCGGGTCAGGATCATCGCTTCGATACGGACACCAAAGATCCCGAAAATAGATCAATAGCTGTTCATTAATTTTTGCTGAATGATGATTTTGGTCTTAGTAAATAAGAGAAATTATAAGATATTTAAGAATCTTTAGAATCATGAAGGTAGGTAAAAAAAAGTTAGACTAATCTTTATCCTAATTCTATTCTTTTTTTCAATTTTATAGTAAGACTTCTTTGTCTTATAGTTTTTATTAAGTGCTTTGTTAGTTTCTATCAATATAAAAAGGGGTATTATATTTTGCATATCAATAAGGTTACATTTAGTTACATGTACAATTTTAATTATCGTTTATTTAAGGGTTTTGCTTACAAGTTACTTACTAATTGTTATACTTAGAACCTAATTGTAAATTATCTATTTAAAGTTTTAATTTATCCTTAAAGTCAATTTTTTTTAACAAATGTTAATAACATTCTCTATATTTCTTATTATAGTAGTATTTACATTTTGTTATACTGGTTTTATTTTAAAACTTTCTTACATCTAATATGTACTTTTATTTGAATTTTTATAGGATTTTATATACAATTATAGGTATTAATTTTTGGTTATAATTATTTATCTTTAATCAAACTTAAATTATTGATTTTGTCTATAAAGAAACAGAAACTTAATAACTAAGTTAAAATCAATCTAATTCTATACTGACTCTAATAATAATTAAAATTAAATTGTTACTAAAATAAATAAGTTATCATTAAATAAAATATCAATAAAACAAACAGGTCTTATTGAGAAATTTTGAAATATTTAAATAAAACTTTATTTAATAATACTTGATAATAAAAATTTTATTAAAAAACTCTTTTTAATAATTATCTAAATCAAGTAAATATTGAAAATAGATTAAAAACTCTGGTCTTAAAATGAATAATATTTTTAATTTTACATTAAATAAACTTGTTATCAACAATCTCAAATGTATAATTTACTGAGAAGTAGACAAAATTTGAGTAATTCTTATCTTAAATTTAGACACTTGTTTGATATACTTTTTTAAATATCTAATATCTGAATAGAAAGATATTTTGAAAATAAAAAAAAAGATAAAAACAATTTTCTAATCAAAAATATTAAACAAAAAGAAAAAAAATAACTAAAAAATTCTTCTTAATTTAGATTTTGTAATAATACATTAAACTTTTATATCTTTTTTTTTGTAAAAACTAGAATTTAGCTTATTTTTATCAAAATATTATTACTGTATATTATTTTTTTTGTACTTATATATTTATTTGAATATTAAAGAACACAATAAATATATAGATTTACCAATATATAAAGTTTATTAAAAAAAAAATTTAAATTGAAAAAACCAAAAATTTGTTAAGATATATATATTTCAAAACTTGTATATAATATTTTTTAAAAAAATAGATTTGAAATTTATAAAGAATTGGATTATTTAAATAAAAAAATTCTAAGTCCTTAGTATAATATTTTAACTTTTCAAAAAATTTTATATAAAAAAAAACTAGTTTAAACATTATTTCATATGTGAATATTAATTTTATTCAAATTAAAAAAATTTAGTAAGGGTGTGGCATATTATAGCAACTGTTACTAATGATTGAATTAGGATATCTATAATGATAGTCATACTAGCATAACTGGCAGGTTATAGGCATTCATGTAACAGTTATATAACATTGTTCTTTGAGACAAAGTTTGTAGTTACATAAAAAAATACAAACAAACAATCATCAATGCAAACATTAGATAAGTTCTTGTGGTCATGTAAATCTGTTAAAATTGGGTAACAAGAAATCTATTTTGAAAAACTCAAATAGAAATCTTTGACAGCTTTACTATAAAGGCTAGTTTGAAGAAATGAATATCAAGGTCATAGTACTTAGTCATAGTAGCCAGACAGATAAAAATCTCTAAGTTGAAAATCTTGGAAGTACTACTAACCAGACCATTAGAATAAACCAGAGGAAAAGGATATTAGGCTGACCTGATATACTGATAGACTGATTATAGTTTTATACAGACTATTTGTATTAAAA